TATCTGTATCTAAAACTCTTTTACTTTCATATCCTGCAGATTACCCGAAATCGAGTGTTGGCTCTGAAGAGTTCCTCCGCAGATGCGGAGTTCCGGTTTGAAATCGAAGGGCCTATTATGCCCTTGTGCTTGACGCGTATCATTGACCTCTTCAACGTCACACAGAGAGGCACCTTTGGCGTGTCTCTCTCCCCTTTCAACAACTCCAAGGTGCGCACTTCTCCTTATTGGAGAGTTTAGAAATACTGTATTTGTGTGTCTATCCAGTGTGTGCTTGCATCTCGATGTTGGAATATATAGATTTAGTTAAGTTCGGATCGCAAACCAGGGCTATTACGATATTGTTTGGCCCCCATTCAGCGATGTTAAATAAGTCTCGGTCGAGAATGCATATATTACGATACTTGTACTTACTTGTTCACAAAGCAGGTACTCGTATGCATGTTGATGCATCACCACGTTAACTAGGGACAAGCGCATTGTCGCTCAGATTCCTTTGAATATGTGCGTACTTGCGTTTTTGTGGCTGGTGCATGCGTGCGGTGTGGCTCTAAATATGTACGCCATCGCCACCTCTGTTCTACTTTCTCGGTGATTCCTGTAATTATCTAGGCTGTAGAATTATCTACTGTTACTGTCAGATATGTTGTGTGTCCAATTTTAGCTTGAACCCAATTCTAAATTGGCGGAAGGATTCGCCTGTGTTCCGTATTGTAAAGTTCTTTAGACCCCCGTGAGTCATGCATTCATCCCCGCTTCTCAATCCTCAATATCACTGAACAAATTCCCAGCCAGGCCCGTGCCCACTATGGTCAGGTCTGATAGCGATACAGTAAGGCATCCATAGCTCTGGCTTAAAGTGACATGTACTATAAGTGTTACTAACCTGTGTACCGTCAATGAGAACTCATTTTATTTCTACGCATCACGTTCCTGACTCTCCCGCAGGGGGTCAATGTGCATCCTATGCCGTCAGAAAGTGTTTCCACTCAAATGGTGCCGAATCCGAAAGCACTGTAAGTATCGCTTTTTAATGTGTGTCATGGCTGTTTGTGCAAGTATCCGTCTTCTTTCTATAACATCAAGCACAACAACTGATAGGGAGGACAAATGTAATGCAAACAGTCGGTATACATGGAATATTTGCCTTCCCGTGGTGCATGGGTGTGCAATGGTTGATTGTTATTTTTGAATGCTGTTACAAATCAGCTATACAAAAACATGTGTACAGAAATAGTAATCTCACCCATATAGGTTCATCCGAATACAAATTCAGATGTATGTATATGTGTGTTTATACTAGTTCTATATTGCATATCTTGTAAGTACAGATGTTGGTATTTCTGACCATCTTGTTGCATCGTCCTACGCCAGTGTTTTCCAGCCCATTTTTTTTTCATTGCAAATCAAAACCACAGCATATCAGACAAATTCTCGCAACTTCAATACTATATTACTTCTTCCCCCTTTGCGAACTAACAGATAGCCCTTCGCCTGCCCTAGAGATCATAGTACTCTATAGCCTTGACAGCTCACTGCAATTTAGTACATGTGCCGATGCCAAATTTCTTATAATTTATACTTACTTGGCATTCGAACATTTCAGACCGCCACATATATAGATACGGAGGCGTGGGCAATTCATAAGAAATCTCTCTGTATTTGTACAGAAGTTGGAGCACGATGGGCTGCATCGACTGCTGTGTGTTTATAAATATACAATCACGATGAACGTGCATCCAACTTATAGGTACATGTACAGCTATACCATATGACTCATCTCGCTTCCCACTTATATACTATACGTCAGCTTACCGAAATTTCAATCAGAGGAACTAGACGAATTGGCGCATAGCTGTGGTGTGACACGGAGAGAGCTCGATACACTCACAAAGCCCCCTTCAGCACAACTCACATCCGTCAGGAGAATACAGAAAGAATCGTCGTCATCTCCATATGTCTGGTGGGCATCGTGACGGCTATCAAACGGCATGTAACCTAATAAACAAACATCCGAACTGTACTCATGTGTGTTATTTGAAGTATCTACAGATGCAGACCTTTCGCCGGATTGTGACGTGGAATGATCTCGGTACATCAGACGAAATACTATAAATACTATGTATATTGTCAGGTGTCATTTTGAGATGGCTATGATTTTGGGCGCATTGTCATCAAAATGGGAGCATCTATTGAGATAAGGTTTACGACGTGATACGAAAATAATAAAAGATTTTTAAAAAATGAGGGAAAAGTGTCAGATTAAAAATCTAGTATGTAATTTCCAAGATAATTCCGATAATATGACACACCGCATAATAAAGTACATATGTCGTATATTGGCTTATCGCGGACATCAGTGCTGTGCTTTCACACCTCTCCTTTTTGACATCACTTTTACATTTTTCGTGTGTCGGCCGAAAATGTTAAAAATGGAGACGAAAAGCTCTAGAGAGAGAGAAAAGATGAGATCAAAGGTTATATATCGTACTTCGTGCAGATTATCTGGAGACTGGTGGGTGTGATAGATATATTCCGAATCGATCTTTACACTCTGCTCAGCCAGATATGTTCAGATTTTTAAAGCACAAGCATAGAAAACAGTGACACAGTAACTTGAGCCACGCGCATCGCATCGCTGCTATCCGTGGTTAACCGTCTCCTTAGTGAGGTGAAGGTTTTAACTTTGAGTTTCATATATGTACAACTTGGTATGTTGTGATGTATAAACTGAAGTACAGCTCTCGTACACAGTTTGAATTCGCGAGCATGCAAATATACATTCACTCAGTAACGCTTCAAAGACTGCGCTACTATCTATGAAGTTGTGCGTGTTCCCACAACAGAACATAAGGCGGACGAAGCTGAAATGGCATAACATAACTTGAAATATTTGGAATGTTAAAATATGTATTG